TTTTTTTTTTTTTTTTTTGATTATCTTGCTCGACATCATTTCTTGATTGATTGATTGATTGATTGGTTTATTGTTATTATTATTATTATTTATTATTTACTTCCTTTAGTAGTTCCCTCTATCTATCTCTCTCTCTGTCTGTCTGTCTGTTTCTCTGTGTTTGTTTGTGATTGATTGATTGATTGATTAGAAAATGGGAAAGTCGGAGGGTATTCGTGTATTCCTGCGTCTTCGCCCACCCGCCGTGGATCTCCCACGATCTCTTAACAGTATTACTACTACTACTACTAATAATAATAATAATAGTAATAATAATAATGCTGTTAATAGTAATAATAGTATTAGTCATCCACAGACCTACGCAGTGGAGCATACCTTTGATCGATCTATTGTTCGCTTTCACGTAGACCGGCGAACAGAGACGGATGTTGTCAACAACACGGCGGAGGATTTCCGTTTTGTTTTCCGCCGCGCCTTTGAGCCAAACGCCACGCAAGAAGAAGTGTTTAACACCGTTGCGAAGGAATGTGTATTGGCGGCGGTGGATGGATATAATAGTACCATCTTTGCATATGGACAAACCGGAAGTGGAAAGACATTTAGTATTACGGGTGGAACAGAGAGTTATAATGATAGAGGTATTATTCCACGAGCATTAGCACTTATATATGAAGAGATTGCCCGTCGACAACAACAAGAGGAGTGTGTGTGTAATATTACGATTTCTTATTTACAGATTTATAATGATAAAGGACAAGATTTATTAAATCATGGTCGTGATGCCCGTAAATTAGAAGAACTCCCACAAGTGACTGTACATGAAAGTGAAGATGAAGTTGTTTTAAAAGGACTTGCTCAACATAGTGCTCCTACTACAGAAGCCGCATTAAATCTTCTCTTCTTGGGTGATACCAATCGTCTTTATTGTGAAACGCCAATGAATAAAACTTCTTCTCGTTCACATTGTGTATTTACTGTTTATATTGAAACTCGTCCACATGGTGGAAGTGGGGCAACTGTGCGGCGATCCAAATTAAATCTTGTCGATCTCGCCGGTAGTGAACGTGTTGCCAAAACGGGTGTACGTGGAACTGTTCTTACAGAGGCTAAACACATTAATCTCTCTTTACATTACTTGGAACAAGTTATTATGGCACTTAGTGAACAGGCAAGTGGAAAACGTGATCACGTGCCTTTTCGAAATTCATTCATGACGATGGTTTTGCGGGATTCATTAGGAAGTAATTGTCGCACCAGTATGTTAGCCACAGCACATCCTTCATTAGATCAATTACCAGAGACTATTAGTACCTGTCGTTTTGCGCAACGAGTCGCACTGATTAAACAAGAGGCTCATATTAATGAAGAGATTGATCCTCATTTACTGGTACGTCGATTAAAGATAGAAGTACAACAATTACGAGATCAATTGGCTTTTTATACAAAAGATGGTGGAGGTGCCCCTGATCGTGTTTTAAGTGATGATGAGAAGTTAAGATGTACTGAAATGGTAGATCGATATGTAGCGGATACAAATGGGGAATCTCGTATGGAGGGATTTGATGGGGATCTCGCCCGTATTTATTACTGTTTTGATGTGATGAAGCGAATGTTAACAAGTAATGGAATCCATCATGCGAATAGTAATAATAATAAGAATATGTTGTTAAGTAATAGTTTTCCAAGTCCTTCAGGAGGAGGAGGAGGAGGAGGAGGAAGTACTGGTTTCTCTAGTGAACCATCTTCCTCCTCTTATCAACAACAACAACAACAACCAATAGAAGCTTATATTTCTCGCATTGAAGCTCTTGAAATGAGTTTACAACAAAAAGAAAATGAAATGAATATGTTATTTGATGTTCTTCAACGAACCCAACGGCCACGGTTTAATGCGGAAACTCAAACAGGTCTCAACACAAATAATCCATCATCTATACAATCTCAACCCATATCTTCTCCCCAATCCTTATTATTAGGAAATCTTACCTCCTATCCAACCTCTATGCCGGGTAATAATAATAATTATAATATTAATAATAATAATAATAATACTATGGGTGGTACCTTTTCTCCTTCTTCACTTTCTCCTTCTCCTTTAACGACATCCATCAATACAACAACAACTACTACTACTACTTCTTCTCCACCAGTACTGCGTCGTGCTTTACCGGAACATCTTCAACCCGCGCAGGCCACTGCCGTAGATGAGTTCTTCCGCAAACAACAACAATTAAATGAAGTGTATGATCTCTCCGCCCTCACAGATGCGGATCTTCTACAAGACCGCGCTATTGCCTTTGAAGCCTTTAAGCGTTCCTACCGTCAATGTACAAAAGTGGAGGAAAATAAACGAGAATTAAAAGGACGATATGAAACCTGTAAAGCCACCGCACGACAATTAAATGAAACTGTAGATCGTATTAAACAAGTAAAAGCACATATTCAACGTCTACGAGCTGAACGGGCTATGCAAGGTGTGGAAGAAGTAGATGAAACGGAACGGGCCGCATTGGAAGAGTTAACCACACAAAAGAATGCCTATAATGAATTGGCAGAATCTCTTAGACAACAAAAGGAAGCCATTGATGCTATGCATATTTTTATGAAACGTGCACAAGAACAGTTAACAAAAGACTTTGAAGATTGGCTTCAAATTCGACAGAAACAACTTACTTTGGCAACTGGTGGTAGTGGTGGTGTAGGGAATCATCCCAACAAACTTAAAAATGGAAGTGGAAATGAAAACAATAACAACAACAACAATGGTGAAAATACGGCGACTTTACTCTCATCTTCTTTGCGATCCCAATCGAGTCAACAGAATGAACATGCATCACATCAACAATCATTCTCAAGGACAACAATGGGAATGTCCCTCCCAATAACAACAACAAGAACACCACCGGAATTACCACCATTACGAGAAGAGAAAATAGGATCTGCACGCACATGGGGAGGAGGGGCTCACTCTATGAATATCATTATGAATAATAGTAGTAACAGCAATAGTCATCATCCTAACCATCATGGTGTTGTTGTTAGTAATACTAGTAGTGGTAGTAATAATACTGGATGGTCTTTGGGAAATACAATGAATAGCAATGCACCTTTAAATCCTGCGGAACGACTTCCACCTCATCCGGCTACGGCTCCCTCAACTTTAATGACAACAGGACAAGGACGATTAACACCTCCATTATCTGATCGAGCCTCTTCCTTAACACTCGCCCCATTGAGTTTTCCATCCAACACAAATACAAATGGATGGATGAATGGTGGAAATGGAACCACTGCTAGTACTGCTGCTTCTGCTGCTGGTAATAATGTTGTCTATAGTAACAGTCATCATCCCAATATGAATAGTAACAGTGGAACAGGCGTAATGAGTTCATTGGGAAACACCGGGGGATCTCATCATGTACCTAATCCATATGCACCGGAACACCGTTCAACGGGAGATGCGGCGGCAGATAAACAACTCGCTGAATTGTATAAGGCACGTGATGCAATGCGTTTACAATTTCAATCATAAGAAAAAAGAGGAGAAAAAAGAAGAGAAAAGAAAAAAAAAAAAACAAGAAAAAAAGAAGAAGCGAAAATAAGTTTCTAATGAGTGTTTTTTTTTTTTTTTTATGTCTGTTGTGTCCTCTATCTCTCTTGGGAAAATGCAAGAAAGAAATTTTTATAGATGTATGAGAGGAGTTTGTGCGCATGAGTGAATAAGTTGGTAAGTGAGAGGTGAGTTGGTACAAGATGGGAAAAACATATGGAATAAATCAAGTATGATGATTGAAATGGGCGAGAACGTTGTTTTTGTTTGGCATACGTCTTTTATTATTATTATTATTATTATTATTATTATTATTATTATT